GGTTGCAGGAGGGAAAGCGGAAGCAGTGAAGGGCAGGTCCCTCCTGGTGGCCATGCCGGGTTACTGCCCTGGGAGATGGCTTAGACAGGCCACGGAGCTGTCCTACCCAAGAGGGTCTATCCTGAGGAGTTCACTCTCTCTCTCCCATTCTCCCTCTTTGGGAAGGTTGCTCCAGATGACCTCTCTCCCATGGCCCCACCCACAGCAGAGCTGATGCATAAGAGAGGGGGGCAGAACCAACCAGACTCACTCTCCTCGACTCCTGGGATCTGGGGGATCTGGACTTGTACTTGAATCAGAGCCTAGCTGGCAGGTGTGTGTGTGTGTGTGTGTGTGTGTGTGTGTGTGTGTGTGTGTGTGTGTGTATTTCCAAGAATCAGAGAAATCACATATTATACAGACATCCAGTAGGTGTCCAGAAAGACAGAACCGCATAGCTCAGATGAATAGAACTGAAAAAGTAACCTCAGAACAGGGAGATTTTAGCCTCGCAGTCTACTAGCAGGTTCTCAGGAAGTGAGGCCTCATTTTTGACAGAGAAATGCTGACCCCTGCTATCACTGCAGTCAACTTTATGTATTTCTCAAAGAAAACCCCAGTTTCCCCTAAAGAAGCTGGGCCTTCAGGAACTTGTAACCAGACACCTATACACTCTCTCTCTCTCTCTCTCTCTCTCTCTCTCTCTCTTTCTCTCTCTCTCTCACACACACACACACCCTTTTCCAAGAGAGTTACCCTTCAAGTCCTACAATGCCTGTTTACACCACAACCTGGCTTCCCACTTCACAAAAGAACAGACCACCGACGGTCATGCTCCTGTAGCTAGCTTGCTGTTTGAAAGTCTCCATTCTAACGCCTTACTTCCCCTTTCTGCAATTTTCCCTTGACTGCATATCTCCTATTAAGATCAACTCCTATAGCTGGGTGGAGGCACACATCTTTATTCCCAGCACTTGTGAGGCAGAGGCAGAGGCAGAGGCAGAGGCAGAGGCAGAAGGATCTCTACGAGTCTGAGGCCGCCTTACCTACAGAGTGAGTTCCAGGACAGCCAGTGAAACTCTGTCTCAAAAAATAAAGAAAAGGAATGAAAAGGCGCCACTGGGGGCGGAACCTAAGGACTTATACACATTACCTCGGCAATTTATCACTGAGCCACATGCCAGCTACAGATGTCGGTGACTTACAAACATTTACTTAACTTTATTTTGTGAGCATTGTTATAAAGTGTCAGGTCTCCTGGAACTGGAGTTACAGACGGTTGGGAGCTGCCTTGTGGGTGCTGGGAATTGAATCTGGCCAATGCTCTTAACCACTGAGCCATCTCTCCAGCCATGGTGATTTTTTTTTTTTTAATTAAAGGTTTATTTTTACATAAGTTGCTTGTATGTACACACATGTGCATTCAAGTGCCCACAGAGGCCAGAAGAGGGTGTCAGATCCCCTGCAGCGAAAGTTATAGACAGTGGTGAGCCATGCAACAGGGATTTGGGGAACTGAGCTTGTGTTTGTCTGGAAAGGCAGCAAGTGCTCTTAACTGTGGAATCACCTCTCCAGGCCCTGGTTTTTGGTTTTTTGTATTTTGTTTGTTTGTTTGTTTGTTTTTATAATTCTTAAAACAACATGTGTGGAGGCAGAGAAGGAGGGAGGAATGGAAGATGGGAGAGTGGGGGGAGGGAGGGAAGGGAGGAGGAAGGAGGGGGGTGGGAGAGGAAGGAAGTAGGGAGGGAGGGAGGGAAAGGGAAGGGCCATTGTCGTCAACACTCTTCACCAAATAGTTCTGCTGTTTCTGTTTCTGGGCACACCATGATACACGATGCACAGCAGCACTGAGTTCCCTGGCTCCCTAGTGGATGACCAAGTGATGTCTTTGGCCAATGAGTGTCAAACAGTGAGTGAGTGCTTTGTTTCTAGGTGAGTGTTTAATTGCTGCTCGGAGAACTCCAGAGTCCTAGTGCAAAGTTCAAGTGAGGCCGCCCTATTAGCACCGGATGTGTGGCACAGACGAGGAAGAAGCCGTGAGGATGCTTTGTGACGGCTGCATAGTCTGCCCTGGGCGTGAGAAGGGACTCTTAGAATGACAGGGGCCCCAGAGGGACAATGTGAGGACAAGAGTGTCACACAAATCAAGGCACAGAGTAACTGGCCGTGAATGAGTCCAAGAGGACAAGCAAGAAAAAAGGAATGCACATATGTTCAGTAAACCGGGCCGCTGAAAAGTACTGACACCCTCACTGGGAGCAGCTGTGGTGGCTTGACTAAGAGTGGCCCCATAGGCTCACAGATTTGAGAGCTTACTCATTAGGGAGTAGCACTATAGGCAGTGTGGCTTTCATGAGCAGTGTGTCACTAGGGGGTGGGCTTTGAGGTGTCAAATGCTCAAGACAGGCCCAGTGTTCTCTCTTCTGCTGCCTGCTGACCCAGACGCAGAACTTTTGGAACTTTCCCCAGCACCATGTCCGCCTGCGCACCACCATGCTTCCCGCCACGATGATAATGGACCGAACCTTTGAACTGTAAGCCAGCCCCAACTAAATGTTTTCCTTTCAGAAGTTGCCATGGTCATGGTGTCTCTTCACAGCAATGGAGCCCACACGAAGTCAACAGCATCCATGGAGGGGTGGGTATGGTGGGGGAATAGGGCGCACCGAAGGAAAGAAAGACCACGGAGGGTATTCAGTAATTGGCGTAAAGGAAATGTAGAATGATTTTCTGTTCTGGGCATTTCTGGAAATTGAACTATCAGATGTAGCCTTTTGTTCTGGTTCCTTTCACATCTCCAAGTTCATCCAAGTTACAGCGTGTATCTGTTCTTCATTCCTTTTTCATGGGTGAATGCTATTTCCTCATACGGATGTGCCATGTTTTCTCGGTCCATTCTTTAGTGAATGGACACTTTAGGACATACACCCCTATTCACTGCCATATTCACTGGTTCCTCGTACTCCTGGGAATGAATGAATGAGTGGCATGAACAGAACTGTCCAAAGCCACAGAGTTGTTATGATACAAAGCCAGGATTGGAGATCAGGCAGCTACCCCTCTAGTTCTAACCACCAGACTTTGCTGCCCTGATGGAGACCCTGTATATCTGGTATTTAAAAATTTTTGTTACACTCATCTTTGGTGTGTGTGTGTGTGTGTGTGTGTGTGTGTGAGAGAGAGAGAGAGAGAGAGAGAGAGAACGAGAGAGAGAGAGAGAGTGTGTGTGTACAGTTATTTCTCTCTTATTATTTGGGTCTTGGGTATTGAACTCAGGCCATCAGGCTTGGGGACAAGCGCCTGGACCATCTCATGGCCCCACCTATTCTATTTACAGGTGAAGATTACCGTAACCCTCCGAGTTTTAGAAAAGCAATGACGCCCTTGAGCAAAGAAACCAATGGCGGGACAAAGGTGGGGGCAGAATTAAAAGAAGGCAGAGCTGCCGGTGGCTGGCAAGAGGGAAGCCCTTTCCGCTCCCAAGCCTAGAGGACAAACCAGAGTTCCCAAGTAAGAATCTGAATGAAGAGGGTCGGGACACTCATGCAGCCTCTCTGCCCTCTACTTTCTTGAAATGGAGCCAGCAGGGGTGGGGGCCTTGATGGAGATCACAGGGAGGAGAAAGCACAAACTCAGATCTGCCTGGCCAATAATCAGGCGGGAGGGGCAGCAGAGGGTTGAGGCAGCAGCAGAGAGAAAACGCTTTCCACTCTTTCTAGCTAGAAAACACTCTTTCTCAGGGAGGAGCGCTGTCCTCTGAAGTCAGACTCTCACAGTGAAATATGCCTGGAGGATCTAAGTCCAGATGCAGAGAAACGGCCACCATATCCACTTTAGTACGGGGCCTCAGACACAGGGGCCTGCGGGTGCCTCGTCCGGTGCCAACCACGTCTATGACATGGGGCCCTGGGTCTGCTGTGCAACCTGTGTCGGAAGCTGCCCATTTTGTACATCCTGCTTTCCTTCAACCTGCCCAACAGGGTGTCAGACCTGGTGTGGTCGCTCACAACTGTAATCCCAGAACTTGATAGGCGGAGGTAGGGAAATGAGGAGTTCAGGCCCAGTCTCAGCTACTTATGAAGTTCAAAAGAAGTCTGAGTTGGTTACATGGGACCCTGTGCCCAAACAGAACAGAAACAAACAAAACCCAAACCAAGAAAATCAACCAAACAAGATTTCATCTTGACTCCACCTCCCTTGGAACCCAGTCTGGGGACATCCTTGTTCCCCCAGCAGGTAGTCTCCATCTGGCTCCACCAAGAAAACTACTTCTGCTGGATAGCAGCTTTGTTCTTGGTAGTCTGCGGCTGACTGGCCCGAGTCCTGGGTTGACCTGCCAGGGCGCCGGGCAGGACAGAATCTAGAGGATCCAGTAAGCAAGACGCAGTGTGGATTCAGTCTTCCCATCCCATAGTGAATCTGATCCTGCCCACCATCATCTGCAGACCATCGTATTGCTGGGATCACAGAAGGACAAAAGCGGCCACTCATTGACCCCGTGTACCTGTGCAAGCGGACTGAACAAAGGGTTGCAGGAAATGAATGGCTAATTTCTGTGAAGTGTGGTGGCGCACTCCTGTGATCCCAGCACTCAGGAGGTGGAGGCAGAAGGATCACAAGTTCAAGGCCAGCCTGGATGCTTGAGAGCCTGTCTCAAACAACAAAACAGATGCAATGCATCTTAACGGGGCGAGAGACAATGGAAGTGTCTAGGCCCTTCTCCGAGTTACACAGGGCCTTATGACATTTGAAGGGCAGCTCCCGTCTCCCAAGTGAAATGGGTTCAAAAGAGCAAAAGAAAAGGGGGAGGGGGAATTTAAAAAATGGCCATCTCCTGAATACCATCTTTGTGCATGTGTCGGGGGAGGATGGCAGGGCGGGGTCATCTGCCAGCCAGGCCTGTAGGGCTTGGTTCTTTATTCCACTCACATTTGGGGCAGTTGCCAGGGCCCGCCCCCACTGCAGTCACTGGAGGAGCTGGAAGTTTAATGTTCCTGCTAAGAATCGGTGCGGTTTTTTGTTTTGTTTTTTGGCTGCTCCTACCTAGGTATTTGCTGTGGTCTAGCCTGTGAGGGTCTAGCCAAGGTCCAGCCTGAAAAGAGAGCGAGCCTGTCGCCATGCCGGCTTGCTGCAGCTGGAATGACGTCTTGCAGTATGAGACAAGCAAAGTCACCCGGATCCAGAGTGTGAATTATGGCACCATTAAGTGGGTCTTGCATGTGATGGTCTTTTCTTACGTTAGGTAAGTGGGGCATGGGATGGGCAGATCTCTGCAGCACTGGACAGCACCAACTCCCCCAGGGGGCAGCTGCCGGTTCACTTGCTGGATTCCATGTGGTTGTTAAATCTGAGACACACTCTCATGGTCAGCTGGGAGGAAACAGTAGGAGGAAGCTGCCCTTGGCTGCAGCTGAAGAAAGCCACAAAGACAAAATGGCAAGCTTTGTGCTTTCCTTCAGCTTTTATAACTGTAGCAGGCTCCTACCAGGATGAGCAGGGCAGGGCCTGCCTGAGGAACCTGGAGGGCACAGGCGTTCACCCTGGGCTCCCAGCACGGAGGTGGGGATTTCCCCTGTGAGTCATCCTTATGCTTAAGTGGTATAGGACCAGGCTTATTTTAGAGCATCCAGGGGGCTCTTTTAAAACAGTGTATGAAGTTACAATGTGTATCTTGGACTTTCATCAATTTACAGGTCCATAGCATTCAGTGTGTTCACTGAGCTGTACTGTGGTGGGGGGGAAAATATTAGAACATTTTCAGTCGGGCACTGAGGCAGAAGCAGGTGAATCTTTTGAGTTCAAGGCCAGCCTGATCTACAGAGAAGTTCTAGGGCAGCTGAGACCACAGAAAGAAACCCTGTCTCAAAATACCAAACCAAACCAAAACCAATAAAATAAAATAAAATAAAAGCATTTTATCAGCCCCCCCAAATTCTCTCCACCCTCTAGCCATCATTTTCAACTTCCTCACTGTCCCTCAGCATCTATGGATTTAGATTTATCTATTTTTCACATTTCATATAAACAGAATCACATAGCATTCGGTCCTTTGTGACTGGCTTCTCCTGTTAGCATGTTTTCAGGGCTCACTTCCGTTGTTGTGTGTATTAATGCTGTACACTTTTTAATGGCCGGATAACGGTCCACTGTGTATAAACTACTTCTGCTTATCCATTCACCAGATGATGGCCTTTGGGTTGTTGCTATTTCTGTCATCTGGGCCTATGCCCTAATTTCTCCCGGGTTCCCTCGAAGGGGACTTGTTGGATCACCCTCGGAAGCAGTGCTGGGCTGTTTAGGTTCACCTTTTCACAGCAGTGGAATGTGAGGGCTCTGGTCTGCACCTTCACCAACACTCTGTGGCTTTCTGATCATAATTAACCTTGAGGGTGTGACGTGGTCGCTCACTGTGGTTTTGACTTGTGATTCTCTGACCGTGGTAACGATGGTGTTTTGGTTACAACATGTGGCCTGCTGTGGTTTACTGAGAGGGAGAGTGGCCTGTGTGTATGTGTACTTGCTTGCGTGTGAGGGTAAGGGTGCGTGTGGAGGCCACAGGTCAACTTCCTCAGGAGCTCTTCTTATTTTTTTGAGACAGGTCTCTCACAGACCTGAAGCTCACTGATTCAGCCACACTGGCCGGCCACTGAGCGCCAGGCCCCTACAGGCTCTGCCTCCCTGGGGCTGCTACGCTCAAGTTTTACTTGGTTGCTGCAGGTTGGATTTGGGTCTTTTTGCTCGCATGGCAAACATCCCACAGAGCTCTATAGCCCCGGATACAGCCATCTCCTTGACCACACCACTTAGCCAGCATGCCTCTGTGTCTGTGTCTGCTCATACAATTTTTTGACAACTAAAAAAGAAAAAGTATATCCTTTACCGTGATTTTGATGAGACCGATCCATAACTGGTAGCTATTTTAAAAAAAAAATCATCTTTGTGAGCAGAATGGGTATTTTTATATTCACCCTCTAGTTTGAGTCTCAGAATAACCACAACCATGCTTGGGTCTCAGATGTAGATTCAAAAACCTCTGTGCCTCTCTGTGTGTGTGTGTGTGTGTGTGTGTGTGTGTGTTTGAAGGTGTCCATCTGTATGCACATGTGCAAACACGTGTAGATGTTACAGGTTGACGTTTAGACATGTTCTATGACTGCTCTCCATCTTCCTGTTTTTGAGACAGGGTCTCTCCCTGAACCCAAGTCTCACCCATTTGGCTACATTGGCAGCCAGTGAGCTGGCTCCAGGGATTTCCTTCTCTCTGACTGGCTAGCACTGTGATTATACGCGCATGCCACCAGACCTGGCCTTCATGTGAGAATTCCAGTCTTTGTGGTGATACATTGTTTATGATTTAATAAAGCCACTGGAGATCAAAATGCAAAGCCAGCCACAGAGCCAGGCAGTGGTGATCACACCTTGAACTCCACCAGCTACAGTACTTAGATACAGAGCCCTTGGCAGGCTTCTGAATACACACAGCATACCTAAACTCACACAGGCACGTACGCACACACCCACACAAACATTCAAATAATAAGCAAGAGCTCTCTGGGGAACCTGGGACCTGTTTGCAGTTCTGGTTTGCTTGTACAGTCTCAGCCCTGAAACAGCTGTGGAGACTATGTTTCTGGCTGTTGTCAAGGCTAGCCCCTTCCTAGTCCCAGCAGGAACCTGCAGCAATGGCTGATTCCCCCTTGGTGCTATACTCCTATTTGGTTTGCTGTGACCAGGGGACTACTGTTTGACCAAGTCACCTGTAATGTCATCATCTTGAATTTTATCCCATATTGTGAGAGGCCACAGGACATCTTGATGCAGAGAGGTAGAAGAAATTTGCTTTCTATTGTGATTTTTCCCCCTCTCTTTCCCGGAGACTAATCTGAGAAATACTTCAGGGGTGAAAGAAGATCTGAGGAGGCTGATCTCATTTACAGCCGCTTCTCCTGGCCCAGCCGACCTTCACCACAAGCAGCGCGGTTGTCCTTTGGAGCCCCAGGCTGTCTTTTGCTGGGGAGGGAGGGTGCCTGTGCTTACATTTTTAAAATGGAGTTCCAGATTGACTGGCTGTTCCCCAAAGGGCAGCCTCACATCTGGAAGGCAGGGCCTCTTCTGTGAAGCTACCACGGAGGTGGAGAAGATACCAGATACCAAACCCAACCCAGGCACAGTATCTATGGCCTCAGGGACATGAAATTTGCCATTTATCACCTTGGCCCTGAATGAGGCGATAGCATTAGGGGCAGCTGGAGGATTAGAAAAGGCCCTCATAGGAGGAGACCCCTGTAGGAGAAGAGTTCAGCCACATGACACTTAGGACCCAAAGGCCAGTACCTGCAAAGATGAGGGAGCAAACAAGGGGACAGAAAGGACACGGGGGAGGAGGGAGGAGAGAGCCAGGGCAGGTAAGAGCTGGACCGTGATTCTCTGAAGAACCTATCACTGAGGAGGAAGCATCTGAGTGGTGTCTGTAAAGGCTCCAGTGCCACCGAGCAGAGGGATGGGGCATGTGGCAGGATAAGAATGGGGTACACATGCCACTAAGAAACTTCCGGAGTCACCTAGATGAGCTAGAAGGGGACAGTGGAGTGGGAGAGGTGTGGACCAAGTTGAGAAGGACCTGCTATGGGGAGAGATGGCTCTGGCATCCAGTGGCTGAGGATGCCTTTGTCTGACCTATGCAAGACCAAAGAGAGGCAAGCTCGCAGACCCACTGGTCAGGACTGGTAGAGCTAAAATGTTCTGACTACTTCCGTTGTGATATCTAGCCCCAAAAATGTTAAAAACAAAATCTGAAGCACATAATCTCAAAGGGAGAGGGGGGGGGGGAGAATACAATCCCTTTCTCTTTAGCTTTACAAAAGCTGCCTAGGCAGCTGGCTCTTCTGGGTAGACTGGTACATATCCGTGGCTTCTGGTGTCCCCTCCTGACCAGCCTCCCTGGCTGTTAACACAGTACCAGGCTGTGGTTTAACAGTATCTGGTTGGTGTTACACTGTCTCAGAGGGGAATCCCAGGCCACTGTAGAAACCAGCAGGGCCCAGACTGTGGACAGAATTGAGCTTTATCTTGAGGTTGCTGGAAAACGCGAAGATGGCCTGTTTGATTCTCTAGCTGCTGGTTTTTCATAATGCCTCTTTTCTTTTTTCTGGGCGAGTGTCAGGCTGCCCTCTGCCTCTTTGACAGGGACACGTGGGCATTTGGAACTCATCCATATAACCTAGTAATCTCACCTCTCAAAGTCCTCAGTCATGTGTCTAGACTCTTCCCTGATAAGGTACCATTGCCAGAGAACGGGCTTGGCAGTCCTTGGCAATGTGCTACGGGATGGGCAACTGGTGGCATCCAGCTCACTTAGGGGGCAGCTGCAGCTGAGGTCGGGGTGCCTGGTTCCCTCTGAGAAGGACTGTGGTCCACAGATACCTTTTTCCTGGAACAGTCTGCTTCCTGACCATGTAGTGTCCAAGTGAACCATATGAACTGCCTGACAAATTTTATGAATCTCTTTGGAGACATAGCCGGTCAGAGGCAGAGCTGAGGTCGAACTTGAACATCTCCTGGGGAATCCATGCTCAGACTGGACCAGGCCTGCAGGGAGATCTAACAGTATTGGATCATCCAGCTGTGAACTGATAGTGGTCTGGACTGAGGAGGAGACAGTGACGGGGGACCGGTGGAGCTGAGCAGTATCAGCGAAATCATGAAGATAAAGTAGTAGAATTTCTTTGATCCTGGTTTTCTGAGACAGGGATTCGGGTAACCCCGCACGTGGCTGCACCTGGCCTTCAACAGCTGCCCGCCTGCCGCTGCCACCCAAGTGGCATGCACCCTCCTGCCCAGCTCCAATGATAGGGTTTGGAGTGTTGTTGTCATGTTGTTTCATTCTTTTGAGACAGGATTTCTCTCTGCAATAGCCCTGGCTGTCCCATCACTAGCTCTGCAGACCAGGCTGGCCTCAGAACTCACAGAGATCCACCTGCCTCTGTCTCCCAAGTGCTGGGGTTAAAGGTGTGCGCCACCGCTGCCTGGCAGGATTTGTAGTTGAATGGATGTGTGAGGAAGAGGATGGATGAGGGAGTCCCCTGGGATCCCTCTGAGACTCTATAACACCAGTCTTACGTGGTTAACTCATGGCCCAGTGCTGTGTTAACAGCCAGGAAGGCTATGCTGGAGTGAATACCAGAAGCCATGAGTATGTACCAGTCTACCCAGAAGCCTCTGCTGTGGCACCGTGGAGCAGAGGAGCCGGCTGCCGCGGGAGCTTTCATAAATGAACAGTGTATGACCCTTCCAGAGAGAGTGGGCCAAGAATGTGACACATTTCTGAGTTGGGCCACTGATGAGAAAGAAGTTGGTGGATAAGTTCAGGAGAAAAGGCAACTGGAGTCAAAAGCTAAGTTCAGAGCTTAAGGCTTTGAGTTTGAATGGTGTATGAGGCTCATAACTGTGCATATTGATTGTGTAGATATTTGCGTTCAGAGCTTTGAGATAGATTATATATCACCACCCTGCAGATGGTGATTGGAGCCATGGACATCTTCAACTGACCAGCAAGAAAATGAAAGCAAGAAGCTTGGGGCAGAGCCCCCAGTGATGCTAGCATTCAAGGGGCAGGGAAATGCAGAAGTTCCCCAAGGGGTTCTGAGATGGAGAGGCCAGAGAAGTCCAAGGAGGCCAGGAGAACGGAGGTCCCTTGAGGCTCAGGGAAGGAGGAGAAAGAAGTGGTCCATGCTCACCAGAGTCCATCATGGCGTCTGCAGCATGTCTGCTGCACGTGGGAGAGAGTGAGTTGGCAAGGCAGGCGTTGGAGAAGTGGTGGTGGTGGGAACCAGACTGGAGTGGGTGGAGGAGTGAATGAAGATGCGGAAATGGGATGTGGTGAGTCACTCTCTCAAAGGACTGGGCTCCATAGGAGGAGCCGGCCCTGCAGGGTGCAGGGTGGAGGGAGGGTTTGTTTTTAAGATGAGAAATTATATTTGAATGCAGATGAAGAGAGATGGGGGAAAGGGAGGAAGTGAGGGCACACATGGGACAACCACCATCACCCCTGTCATTGTCATTGCCACTCCTTGGCACTAGCTGGCAACCACAGGGAAAGCTTGCCTGGCCCCAGTCTTTCTGAATCACATTACAGTTCCACTCTGTGCCCTTTCCCTTTCAGAGGGCTTCTCAGACTGCCACATGGATCCTCATGTCTGTGCACATGCGACCATGCCTCTGTCTGTCAAGACCTTTGTGAGCGGCAGTGTGCACACTTTTGCTTCGCATGAAACAATGCAGCCTTCTGTAGTTTGACCCGTGGAACTGAGCCATAAATGTACATGCCCTTTGACCTGGCGTTTCACCTCAGGTGGCATAAATGCCTTTGCTGGGAGAAGACGCTTCGACAAATGCACGTGGCAACGTGGGTGAGGGCATACATTCAGCGAAGGCAGGAGTGAGGCCCCAGGCTACTGTAGGTTAAGCGAATGTGAAGGCAGGTCTCTCTCCGAGCTTGTCTTTCACTTTAGAGCTTGCACCTTTGCTCAGAACTTATAAGAGACAGGCAGACTTCACTGAGAGACACTTCCTTTCTGGAGAGCTCACAGAACCTTCTCCTCATGCTGCCAGTGGGCCAGTTATGCAGGTACAAATCTCCAAAAGTCCTTCAGATCCAAAGCATATGGATCGGGACTCTGAAGAATGCCTTTCTAGGGGCCATCTGCATCTACATTTGGTGAGTCAGGGAGAGCCATTCTTAGTGCTCCATGACCCTAACCTCCCTCTCCATCTCCACTCTATCCCGGTTCCTCTGTTCCCTCCCCTTTGGCCAGACTGGTCTGCAAGGGCCTCTGGGCAGCCCTAGCTTCTCCTGCTGCAGGTCTCTTGTGCATGCCAGGTTCTCCAGCTCTTCCTTCTCCCATCTCAATCTTACCCATTCTACCAAGCTCAGCTAGACACCGGGCTCCTTAATACTGTGCTTGCTCCCAGGGGACCTGGATGCATTGAGCGTCAGTTTCTTAGAGCTAATAGTCACCAGGATTAGAGATTAGAGAATTGTGACTGAATCCATGGCCCAGAGAGGAAGGCTGGCTTCTCTTGAGTCATCACACGAGGTCAAAAGTTTGTGAGTGGATTCATCATTAGACTATTCTTTCTAAAGGGCAAGCTACTTTACACTCTTTGCTTCTTTTCTCCTTTAATGTGTCTCTAGGATGTGTGAATACAACTTTCATGTTCGGCGGGCAGTGGCTCAGCATGCCTTTAATCCCAGCACCAGAGAGGCAGATGCAGGCAGGTCTCTGTGAGTTCAAGGTCAGCCTGGTCTACAGAGAGAGTTCCAGGATGGTGAGGGCTACACAGAGAAACCCCGTCTCAAAAATTTTTTTTCATGTTCATTATGATACAAAGGTTCATTAGGTTTACAAAGCTGGATTCTATTAAAGATGACCATGTGTTGCATATTCCAGAATGGATATTATGCCTGAGACTGAGCTTCCCAAATGGCAGAGCACGCATTGTTCTGGGAGGATGTTGCAATGGATAACTTAAAAGAACATTGCAAGTATTTTTTGTATACGTTTGAGGCTGAAGTGAACTGCACACTCATAGTTGTATATTTCTACAGTGGTCTATTAAGGTCTGTATTATACATGCTGAGTGGATGGGTCCTGAATGTGGATTTCTAGCACCAACACCTTTTTTTTAAAAAACTGTTTACACTTTGTGTGCATGTGCGTGCTCATGTGCCATGGTGTGCATGTGACCATCAGAGAACAACTTCTGGAAGTCAAGTTCTCACCTTCGTTCATCACATGGGTTCTAGGGATCGAACCCAGGTTGTCAGTCTTGTCGGCAAGTGCCTTAACTCAACTCAACTCGCCAGACCGACTTCTTTCTTCTTTAATCGTGGTTGGAGAAACACTAAAAAGTACTATGAGCAATGTCATGTGCTACTGTGCAACTTAGAAACAAAGCTTACTAGTCGAGCCTTCCTCCCTGTAAACTCATCCCTCATCCCATTCCCTTTCTCCTGACAAACATCATCCTGAATTCGATGTTTATTTCTTTGTTTTGATATTTCTATAGATATATGTCTGTATCTATAAAAATGTGAGTACTTTTTTTTTTTTTAAGACAGGGTTTCTCTGTGTAGCCCTGGCTGTCCTGAAACTCACTCTGTGGACCAGGCTGGCCTCAGACTCACTGAGATCTGCCTGCCTCTGCCTCCTGAGTGCTGGGACAAAGGCGTGCATGACTTTTATCTTAGCTATCAAGGTAAAATTCATTGAGCATAAAATTGAGCACTTAAAGAGAGGGGGAAATAAAGGACTACTTTAAAGTCAACACTTGGTATTATATAATAAATGCCTTTACTTATCAATATATTTTATCATCTTAAAAGGAAATAATGTACTCATTAACTGTCACTCTCTATTTCTCTCCTGCAACTATCCATTTTCTGTCCCTATAGATTTATCTATTCTGTATATTTCTTATAAATGAAACGACCCACTGGGTGTGGTAGCCCATGCCTTTAATCTTTAACCCCAGCATTGAGAGGCAGAGGCAAGAGGATTCAAAGGCCATCCTGACCTATACCAGGACAACCAGGACTACATAGAAAGACCCTGTCTCAAATAAATAAATAAATAAAATGACCTGAAATAAGAGCAAGCTGAGCTGAGGTGTTACTGGACCCTGGGACAGAGCCATTCAACCCACCAAGAACGGGATACTAAGTATGGGGGTGGCCCCGGTTTGCAGAGAGGGAGAGTCACAAGGAAGCAGGTCACTGGGCATAAGCAGGCTGTGAACAGAAACTGCTCCAATCACACCCCTCCTCCAGAGACTACAACCCAAACCACTGCCCTGGGTTTTGCAAAACCCGGTGATACTTTTTTGTTTCTCCTCAGCTTTGCTTTGGTGAGTGACAAGCTGTACCAGCGGAAGGAGCCTGTTATCAGCTCAGTGCACACCAAGGTCAAAGGAATAGCAAAGGTGACAGAGAATGTCATGGAGGGTGGGGTGATGAAGTCACTGCACAGCGTCTTTGACACAGCGGACTACACCTTCCCTTTGCAGGTGAGCACCGGGCAGCTGACTCCAGGACACATCCCTGGTCACTGCCTTTCCCCATCCTTAGGAGTCTAAGCCTCATTTCAAACATAGTTGGCTTGGGACTAGGGAATCTAGCTCAGCTGGCAGAATGTTTGACTAGCATGCACGAAACCCTGGATTCAACACCGAGCACCCATAAAACCAGTGGCAGTATAGGCCTGTAGCCCCAGGAGGTCAAGGATGGAGAATCTGGAATTCAAGGTCGCCCTTAGGTATATAGTGAGTTTGAGGCCAGCCTGGAATATATAAGACCTTGTCTCAACAGAAAAAGAAAAATGTTGGCCCTATTTAAAACCTGCGAAAATCCCAACTGAGAAAGCCTAAAAATTGCAAAACTGGGTCACATCCAGCAGCTCAAAGAAGCTGCGTCTTCGATTTATCGAGTCCTACTGGGCTGCTCGAAATAGCAGCGCATCCTGGCACATTCCAAATGCGATCTGATTCACTGGCGGGGATGCTCACGCAAGTGGCTTTAGGAGGGCCACTGCATGACAAGCACCAGTCAGGATTCAGAAGGGTAGAGAGCTTGTCTTCTGTGTGGCTCTGGCTCCTGTGACCTTTTACCATTGAAAAGGTCCCCAGGAGATGGTTCTTGAGTCTACAAAGAAAGGATGTGGTGACAAAGAGATAAAAGGTGTAGGTCACAGAGAACTGTGTGGCTAGCTGAGTCTGCAAAGCAGGAAAAAAAAAAAAAAAAACCAAAGCCGTTAACCAAAAAAGGAGAAATAAGAGAGGGCCAAGGAGCTAGGAACAGATGGGGGTGGGAGGGACAACAGAGCCCATTTGCAACCCTGGGGAGCCACAGCACTTGGCAAAACTGTCAGGCCCAAGCTGCTATTTGTTTCTAACTACAAACCATAAAAGCCACTGATTGCCCAGGCAGTGGGAAGCCCGATGGCCTTCCATTAAGCCTTGAGAAATCTGAACAGCTTGCCCAGGGTGCAGCCCACACCCACACCCACTTCCCCAGCTTCTGCAGAGTCTCAGTGTAATGGGATTTGACTGTGTCAGAAAAACGACACAGCAGCTTTCGAGGCTGGCTTGGAGAATGCCTGCTCGTCAGACAGTTCCTGCAGCTTTGATGTTAAAAAACCCCTGGCAAGGTCCACACTGCCCACGGCTGATTTCTACAGGCCTGGAGGAACAAAGGCTTGTGCCTCTGCTCTTAGTCAGACATGATTCTTATGGAGTTCCACTCCCCAAGGCCTTGCCTTTGCTTTCCATTTCTCTCTGCAGGGAAACTCGTTCTTTGTAATGACCAATTTTCTCAAGTCAGAAGGCCAAGAACAGAAGCTGTGTCCCGAGGTAAGCAGGGGACCCTCTCAGAGAGGTGAAGGGGGAGGTGCATTCTGGGAAGGAGCGCTCTGTCTGCCCACCTCAGTCTAGGGGCCCTTTGAACACCTGCTCTTGCCTTCACAGGCTCTCTGTGCAGCTCACTGTGCAGACCACAACAACATGATTCTGGCACGTGTGTGATTTTTTTTTTTTCCCATTTCACTGGAGCCCCACAAAGTCAGGAGGATAACGCCTAGACCCTATTTTACACAAGGAAACACTTAAGACATGTCATGGTACACTGCAAGCCCTCAGAAAATGTGCTGCTCATAGAACCAAAATGATCACCCAGACAGACGAAAGCCAAGGCCTCCCTGGGTACCACTGGCTGGAGGGCACCAGGTGATCCTGGGGAGGGGAGTTTAGCCTACACTGCAATCTGGTTTGGGTCCTTCCATCGGGACATGTGCCTCCTCTTTACATGTCAATATCCACGCTGTCTCTGGTCATTTCAGCAAATGCGGCCAAGCCCTAGTGTACAACACCTGGATATGTATGGATTATTCCAGCTATTCAAATGCCTATGCACCCGAAGAGCTTCACACAACTTGGCTTAGTCTTTCAGTCTGTGGTGGGCTGAGCTCAGCTGTGAGGCTTTCTGTTGATTTGGCTTGTCTGTCACAGAGCTGTGGTTGCAAAACAGCTGCCGTTAGCATCATTAGGAGGCACCTCATCACTTCCAGGGACTCTCAAGAGTTTTTCTCTTCTCGCTTGGGGTCTGCCCACATGCTTCCTCCAGAAGAGTAGCCAAGTTTCCAAACTGCAGCTCAGGGACCCCAGAGCCAAGAAGGCAGAAGAAGGCGTATGCCTGGAGCTGGCACCATGTAAATTCTGTGAACACACACAGGCCCAGCTCCAAAGGGAGGGAAATGCTTCATCTATCGGCCAGGAGAGCGAGTGATCAAGAACTTCCCCAACCCATGCAACAATCACAAATGTTAGAGTTTCTTTTACAGACAAAAACAGAATTGGTTTATCTTTTTTCCTGGGAGTTCCTTATAGTTGATAATGAAAATCACAACCACTCAAGAGTCACAGTACCCATTAATTCATTCATTCACTCACTCATTCACTCACTCATTCATTAATTCACACTACGATGATCAAGACCTGTTATGAGCCAGGCAGGTAGTTAGGCTATAGAGATGTGACCAAGGCTTTGCAATTAAAAGATTCACAGTTGAGCTGGGAGGTGGTGGCTCATGCCTTTAATCCCAGCACTTGGGAGGCAGAGGCAGGAGGAGCTCTGTGAGTTCCAGGCCAGCCTGGTCTACAGAGTGAGTTCCAGGATGGTGAGGGCTATACAAAGAAACCCTGTCCTCAAGAAACAAAGCAAAACAAAAAAACCCCACAAAACCAAAATAAAAACAACAACAATAAAAAAACAAACAAACGCCGAGACAAGGAGGAGCAGAGGCCACTGCGCATCTGTGTCTGTTCTGTCTTTCCTGAGACTGGCGACGTGAAGTCTCTTGCCTTACTCTGTCCTCCAGCCCCAGACACAGCTGGCCCATTTCCTCCAGCCAGGAGTGCTAGCCATGTCCTTTCTTCCCACCTTGGTACCTGTCAGCGCCTCTGTCCTGTGCTGGCAGGGTCATTACATCCTTGCCACCTGCTCTCCACCTCAATCGCTGGAAGTGCCTCCTGGCTGCCTAACCTGCTGCCGTTTACATTTTTATTTTTGTTTTTGAGATATAATCCATTCACTCTAAACCCTATGACTTCTGAGTACACAGTTCAGTGATTTTTTTTTTTTTTTTACAACATCATGGAAACCATCATCATAATTACCTAATTCCAGAAAAGTTTCTATTGCCCCCAAGGAAACATTGACTCCCAAAAACAAATTGTCCCCATTAGTGACCAATCTCTCCCTCCTCCCTACAGCATCTGACAACCAGCCCACTCTGCTTGTCTGTGGATTTGCCCATTCGGGACATTTCCTATACATAGAGCTACACAGGATGTGACCTCTTGTGTCCAGCCCCTTTCACACTACATCATGTCATTAAAACGCTTCCATTCATGCATGAGGATCTGAGTTCGATCCCCGGCACCCACGTAACTAACGAGCAGGGTATAGCTGTGCTTACTTGTGATCCTAGTGCTAGGGATGCAGACAGTGAGTCCCTGGGGCTTCATGGTAGGCCAGCCAGCCCAGCCAAATAGGTGAGCTAGTCTTAGTGAGAGACCTTGTCTCAAAAAATAAGGTGAAGAGTGACAGGAAAAGAGTCCTGACACTGACCTCTGGCTTGCGCCCTCCCGCGTGCACACATTCAAATGAACCACCCTTTCTTTATCACTTTATCCTTTTTTACTTTCTGGCCACTGGGAGCGCTGCAGTAAGAGTGGGGAGCAGGGGTTGTGGTACCTTGGTGATGCAATGCTCACTCTCTTCTGCCCTTCCTCCTGCAGTTCCCCACCGGCCGCAGTGCACTCTGTAAATCTGACAGCGACTGTAAAGAGGGGTGGATGGATGCGCAAAGCAAAGGTGCTTTTCTGTCTCTCTGAACTGCTGAGGGGGATGGGCCGGTGACTGCGACATTCGAGTCCTTAGCCTCTGGTTTGCAATTGCCTTTCCCTCCATCAAATCACAGGTCAGGCTGTGCCTGTTCCCTGATTTGTCCCCAGCAGAGCAGCCGAAACCTGTACACATGACTGCAGGAACTAACTGCTGGAGAACTTCTCCAAAGGCAGGGAACTTGAACTGCAAGAACCTGGGAGCCTAACTTTTTAATTTTACTTTTCCTTCCTTCCCTCCCTCCCTTCCTTCCTCCCTCCCTCCCTCCCTCCTTCTCTTTTGCTTTCTCTTCTTTCTCAATACTGGAGATGGAACCCAGGGCTTCTTGCAGACTGAGTAAGCACTCTACCACTGAGCTACAGCCCCAACCTTACAAAAAAGACATGGCCTTGTGTTTTAACTTTAAAAGGCTTAAGATTCTGATATGATCCTGCAGGTCTTTAATTTCACAGAGGTAAAGACAGGTAGATCTCTGTGAGTTCGTGACCAGTATTGTCTACATAGCAAGTTCCAGGCCCGCTGGAGCTTAAATAGAGAGACCCTGTCTCAAAACAAGGAAAAGCCACTAGTGGTTACAGTGCACACACTCACACTCACTGAGTGCTGGTTACAGTGCACACACTCACACTCACTCACACTGAGCACTGGTTACAGTGCACACACTCACACTCATACTCACTGAGTGCTGGTTACAGTGCACACACACTCACACTCACTGAGTGCTGGTTACAGTGCACACACTCACACTCACTGAGTGCTGGTTACAGTGCACACACTCACACTCATACTCACTGAGTGCTGGTTACAGTGCACACACTCACACTCACTGAGTGCTGGTTACAGTGCACACACTCACACTACCTGAGCTCTGGTTATAATGCATACACTCACACTCACTGAGAGCTGGTTACAGTGAACACACACACTCACACTCACTGAAAAGCACCTGAGTGCTGCATTCCATCCCATAACATGTATATGTGAGTTGCCACAGAGATCAACATAAGGTGGCTTGCCCTTTATCAGTTCTCTCTCTTCCTGACTCTTCAGAAAGATGCTCCCAAGTTTCTCATGTGGCTTCACACATCCCCAGACGAGCTGTGTGCCCCTGGAGACACCAGATGCCACACGAGAAGCCATACTTTAGTCCACATAGAGTACACATTGTATACAGAGCTCTCCTCTAAGGCATCCCTCCCTGAAAAACAAAAACAAAAACAAAAACAAAAACAAAGGGTGGGCAGACTCCAGATCTCCCTGTGCTATCTAGGGATATATTGTCAAGTGTTCTGTTTGGCTTGGAGCACACAGGTGAGGAGGGTGGGGTTCATGGAAGGGGGAGCTGCTTGGGCCTAAGTGTAATGTAGTCTCTGTGTGGGCTGAGTACATGGTGCCTCCTAGAGATATCCCTTGTCTGGTATATTCACATCTGTGGTTCTTCTACCCCTTAAACCCTCTAGGACTCCAGACTGGCAAGTGTATACAATATGATAAGAACAGGAAGACCTGCGAAGTCTTTGCCTGGTGCCCCGCTGAGGAGGGGAAAGAGGCCCCCCGGTGAGTTGCATGGTGGGAGGCACAAACAGTGGCCTTGGCTGCAAAGTCCTGGCTTGGAGACCTCTATGTCATCTCTGGGAAGGCTACGCCAGTTCTTAACATGTTATAGTCGTCCTGAACCAGCTGGTATGTAGCTGTGACCTGGAACACCCTTAAGAGGCCCTGTTTATGATGGCTGCTCTGGAAACCCTCCCCAAGAGGTACAGCAGGGTTTGCTCTGATCCATCTATGCTCATATTAAATGACAAAGAATATGAAGAAGCAGCGATGGGGAGGTGGCTCAGTTAGTAGAGTGACTGCCTAGCAAGCCTGAGGTCCTGAGTTTGAATCCAAAGCACTGACACAAATAGCCAGGTGTAGCATCAGACTTGGTAGTCCCAGCTGAGGAGGCAGAGTCACAGGCTGCTGGCCAACTAGTCTGGCCAAATTGGTGAGCTCTAGGTTCAGTGAGAGACACTGTTTCAAATCATAAGGTAGAGAGTGCTACCAACCGCTAGCCCCCCATGCATGAGCATTCTGAGATCTGTGTACCTGTGGGCATGTGCATGTAACACACACACACACACACACACATACACTCACATACACACACTCACATACACACACACTCACACACACTCACACACACACATTCACACACTCACACACAAAGCAAGAGCGAGAGAGAGCAAGACAGAGTGAGAGAGATTGTGCCTAGAAGTAGAGTGCTCTAGAACATCTCTGTCCAATAGAACTTCTTTCAGTAATGGGAACGTTTAGTACCCATGGTGTCTAATATGGCAGCCACCATTTACCTGTGGTGACTGAACACATAAGGAATATAATTTTAATTGAAAATTCAAAAAACAAAACAAAACAAAACAAAACAAAACAAAAAAAAAAAAAAAAAAAAAAAAAAAAACAAAACACTTGCAGTGTGGTGGCGGCAGTGCATGCCTTTAATTCCAGCACTAGGGAGACAAAGGCACGCAGGGTTTCTATGATTGAGAGTTCGGGACCAGCCTGACCTACAGAGTGAGTTATAGGACAGGCAGGAAACCCTGTCATGAAAAACATATAATATATATATATAATAATATATATATATTATATGTCTTATCTACATTTATATTTGTTTGCTTGCTTGTGTATGTGGGTGCTTATGTGCCATAACATACATGTGGACCTCAGAGGACAACTTGCAGAAACTGGTTCTTTCTTTCTACCATGTGGGCTCCAGGGAGTGATTCCAAGCCATTAGGCTTAGTGGCAAGCACCTTTACCCACTGCGCCATCTCGCTGGCCCTGATTTTATCTCAATATCCATTTATGCTTTATAAGACTTCCCAGACCAAGCAGAACTCAGGACCACTCTGTATGTGGGACAAAGAAAAGGCTGCCCAAGCAGACCCACATACGGCTCAGGCCAAGGTCCATCCCACCAACCGACGTTAGGCTGCAGGCAGTAGGCAGTAGCGCCCTTTCTGGCCTTTGGTTGTCAGGCCAGGTTCTTTCTAGGTCAGGGGAGTTTCTGTGTGCAGAAGGCACTGTACTGAGGGTAGTATGCCAGCCGACACTGCAGGACGGCCTGGGTCCACACAGAGGACTGCGGCTGTCGGTTTCAGCTCTGCCACCGACTCGTTTGTCAGATGTCTCCACACGTCTGTCCCAGAGCTTTTTCATTCTCTGTTATTGTGATTGCCACTGTCTTTGAGACAGGATCTTGCTATGTAGCCCTGGCTGTTCTGGAACTTGCTTTGCAGACCAGGCTGACCTTGAACTCACAGAGATGTGCTTGCCTCTGCCTCCTGAGTGCTGGGATCAAAGGTGTGCACCAGCGCTCTTGATGTGTGTTTCTGGATTAAACCTTCAGCCAGTCCCCATCTCTCGTAGATTATCAACTGCTGCTGGTCTTGTTGAACACTCTATCCCAGGGCTCTTCTCCATGTCCAGTTCTATAATTATTTGCTAATTGGCTGGCTGGTGGGGAGGTGACCTTCCTGTGGCCTGGAATTTTGATTCCTCTAACTCAGTGTAGAACTAAATGCTACTCAGAGCCTCTGATGAATGAATGAATGAATGAATGCATGCATGAATGAATGAAATTATGAATGAATGATATAGACAACTCTGCCCATGATCCTGTGATAAAGGCTGGGCACACCAAAATAAAATTATCATTCAGCCTTGCAGGGATTTCAAGTCTATCCAGGAAGCCTCAAACATGGGTGCTCAAGAGCTGGCTGGCACTGCCTTATTCTGTCTCAGTTTCAAGTTTATAGGTGGATGGGCTTGACACCAGTCATGGTGGCAGCATCTATGGCTTGGAAATCAGCAAACGCTACATGTGAGGCTCTTTCCTGTCTCCCTTGGAGAGCCAGTTGTCAGATGTTAGCACTGCAAACAGCCAGACACTCAATTGTATCAGTGTTGGACACGACACTGTAATTGCCATTGGGTCTCAAGGAGGGAGAAGGCTTCTGGGGGAAGCTACAGGCCGTATGGAGAACTTTGCAAAGTTGTTGTTCTCATTTGTCTTCTCTCAAAAGCACAAAAGCATAGTCCTCTGGTCCCAGGTCACCGACCCCTGTCCTTGTCTCCCAGGCCTGCACTCCTGAGGAGCGCCGAAAACTTCACTGTGCTCATCAAGAACAATATTCACTTCCCCGGCCACAACTATACGACGTAAGCATCTCAAATGCCTTGACTGTATGTGTCAGCTCGTATGCAGAAGTTATCTAGGCTGTAGAACAAAAGATCCCAAACCTGGGGAGCCTGAAAATTACTAGAGCTTTTCTCTCTCTCTCATCTGTGGATCAGGACTCAGGACATGTCTTTGCTCATGGTCTTTCCAGAGCTGTCAGTCAGAGCTTCTGTTAGCTCTAGGTTTGGTAGAACTGAGTCCTTTTCCAGCCTTACTCATGTGGCTGAGGCAGCAAGGCTAATTTCCTCACCATGCTCATCTAACCCAAGGACTGTTTGCGTATCCAGTCTGCGTAGCAGACGAGCAAGGGAAATTGAGATGGAAGCCACTGTCTATGGAAGTGATACCCAACCAATTCTGCAATATACTGTTGGTCACAAAGATTGTTCTTGGCACAATATAAGAGGACATTCTACCAGGGTCCCCAGGAGACCAGGGAGCTGCCACACAGCTCACATCTGTGAGCGATCCATGTCAAGTTCAACAGTGTCCCATTGGGAACTTCGGCAATGGCGGGGGCATTTGCACTATGGTAGTCAGCAAGCATTACTTGGCAGGCATTGGTTTTTCCTTTAGAGAAATGGTTGGTAAAACATCTGTTTGTTTGCAATTCTGCACAGGAGAAACATCTTGCCAGATCTGAACATCTCTTGTATCTTTCATAAGACTCAGAACCCTCAGTGTCCCATTTTCCGACTAGGGGACATCTTCCAAGAAGCAGGGGAGGACTTTTCAGAGGTGGCAATTCAGGTTGGTGGAGTGTGTGTGTGTGTGTGTGTGTGTGTGTGTGTGTGTGTGTGTGTGTATGTATGTATGGGGGGGCGGTAAGAGGCTGTCAACTGTCAAATAACAGTGTCTGATGGTAGAGACTAACATTCTGGCTCTTAAAGTCGTGGCTCGCATTTATTTGTACTTGGTAAACCACACCCAGTGCCAAGGGCTTTACCTGCCAGGGAATCCCTCATCCTGAGTGAGTGACTTGGTGCACTTCTCCTGTGGTTACAGTAAACACATTTTCTTCTGTGGCTGGAGTAGGAGTCCAGAATTGGGGTGAACTCAGGTACCAGCGGCAGTGCCCCCGTCTGGAGGCTCCAGGGGGAATGCATGCTTGCATTTCTACCTTCCCCAGCTGTGCTCTTGTTTTTAGTGTATTTGTATTTATTTAGTGATTGGCAGCCTCCATCTTTCTTTCTTTTTAGACACGGATTCTCTGTAAAGCTCTGGCTGTCCTGAAACTATCTCTGTAGACCAGGCTGGCCTCGAACTCACAGAGATCTGCCTGTCTCTGCCTCCTGAGTGCTGGGATGAAGGGTATGTGCCACCACTGCCTAGTTGCACTGAAACCTTTTAATGAGTATTTCCCCCCACAGAGAGGAACCTTCCCTGAAATGGTATTACTGAGTGGGACAGTGTTTGATGGTCACATAACCCACACCCAGCAGACTTAGTGACTTTTCTTGTCGACTGTCCCCCAAGGGAGGAATCATGGGCATTGAGATCTACTGGGACTGCAACTTGGACAGCTGGTCCCATCACTGTCAGCCCAAATACAGCTTCCGCCGCCTGGATGACAAGTATACCAATGAGTCTTTGATCCCGGGCTACAACTTCAGGTAACAGCAGCCAATGTGCCAATGGGCAGAATCAACAAACAGGTTGCTACTATATCTAGGAAGGACACATAGACAAAAATGTAAGTAAATAAAGCATTATAGCTCATCAGCATTACTGGTCATTAGGGAAATGCAAATTAAAGCCACAATAAGGTAAAATTGTAGGGCCAAGGAGATGGCTCAGAGGTAAGGGGACTTGCTGCTAAGCACAGAGACCTGAGTTTGATCCTCAGGACACACATAGTGGAAAGGACAGAACTGGCTCTCACAAACTGTCCTCTGACTTCTACATGTAGGCCATATATGTGCATGTACACGTGTATACACACACACACACAGAGTAATTTTTTTTTTAACGTGGGCAAGTCTCACCTATAATGAAAGAAGACAGAATAGTGGGTTCTGGGCTGGGAAAAAGTTTACTGAGAAAATGAAATTATCTGAGTTGAAGGAATTTTAATGAAAACACAAGGTATTCATTTGCCAAAACCTATTACCAGGCTGGTGGTACATATCTTTAATCCCAGCATACAGAGGCAGGTGGGTCTCTGTGAGGTTGAGGACAGCCTGGTCTACAAAGCAAGTCCCAAGCTACCCAGAGCTACTCACAGAAACCTTGCCTCAAAACAAACAAACCATTGAAGAGAACTTTTGCATAAATGAAAAGACAAATCTAACGATGGTAAAGTGCTCTGAAGAAAATCAAGCATGATAACGTAATAGGAAGATGTGGCCAGGGAAGCCTCTCCAAGCACGAGGTAGGGGCTCTGCAGGCACTTGCTCCCTTTTCTAGTTAAGGAGGACGGGAGCCTGGCTCTGAGAAGAACCCTGGCAAACCTTTCACATCCACAGTCTAGACTAGCAACCCTCAAATGCACGGGTCAGCACCAGCATGGTATGGTGACTCAAAAATGCACATTCCCGGGCCTGGCCTCGCCTCCTGATTTAGACTGGACAGCCATGGGCCCATGGTCCGTACTTCCACGCATCTCCGTGGGGCTCTGCTGTTCACACAAACACCTATCCTCAGAGCTCCATCCCGGAACCTGTGTCAGGGACCTCACGTGGTCAGGGGTTTCACGTGGGTCAGGGGAATCTCACCTGGGTCAGGAGCCTCACATGGGTCAGGGACCTCACGTGGGTCAGGGGAATCTCACGTGGGGCAGGGGCCTCACGTGGGGCAGGGGAATCTCACCTGGGTCAGGAGCCTCACATGGGTCAGGGGCCTCTCATGGGGCAGGGACCTCACGTGGTCAGGGGTTTCACGTGGGTCAGGGGAATCTCACCTGGGTCAGGAGCCTCACATGGGTCAGGGGCCTCTCATGGGGCAGGGACCTCACATGGGTCAGGGGCCTCACGTGGGGCAGGGACCTCACGTGGGGCAGGGGCCTCACCTGGGTGCTTGCTTCAGTGCAGAGAATCACAGAGCCTCCCCACCCCTGACTTAGCAAATACCTGCACTGGGAACAAGATCTCCCTGGAGACTCCATTTATTTCTTTGCATCTGTAGAACGTTTTAAACCCTGTGATAGTCTACACAAAGATCTGGGCTGTCTTTTTCCTGAAAAGCTAAAGTGTTTGACAAAGAGTTTATACACTTTAAATGACATTGGGCCCATACCCCATATGACAGCATCGGCTGGAGCTGGGTTTGAGCCCCTGTAGAAAGAGCATGTGGCTTTTGCGTTGTCACTGTCCTTTCCACGTCTTTGTGTCCTTCTATGTGACCCTGCATCCTTTATGCTGAGCCCTGTGGAGATCCTGGACTCAGCATCAAGCTGGCTGAGGCTTTCTGCCTCCTCTGGGCCAGTGGAGTTCCATCGGTGCTCAGGAAGAGGCTCTTAGTTCAGGTAACTTTTTGATCGCCCTTGCTGAATAGGGTGAAGCGATAAAGAGGCTGTGGCCATTAGCAAGAAAGGGGGACATGATGAATGGACCCTGGCTATGCTGGGCATTTTTATTTAGCAGTAAGCCATAACATTCTGGGCAATGTACCAACACTGGCCACCCGCCTGCTCTCTGAGCTGAGCCTAAGAACATCCGCTGCTGGTGGGACTGAGCTGTCTAGAGGCCCGAAGGGTTATGACGTCAGTATTCTTTTAGAATAGAGTGCTAGCAAATTTGTTGTTGAATGTGCACCAGGAGAACTCTTTGGCCAAAAATAAATTGCGGAGATCTGATAGGCAAGAGAACAAGTTATTTTCAAACAGGGTCACAAAAGAGAAGGAAATTATAGGCTATATGAGGTATTTGGGAAAATATAGCTTTCTTTTTTACAGGAAGTTAAAAAGTTCACATTATGTAACTTTGTCCTCAAGAAAAAGATTTATGGGGGCTGGAGAAATGGCTCAGTCAGAAAGGCGCTTGCTGTGCAAGCAAGAGGACATGAACTCGGCTCCCTGACATCCATGTAAAAGCCAGGCCTAGTGGTGTGTGCCTTGAATCCTGGTGCTGGGCAAGCTGAGACAGGAGGGTCCCTGAGGCCTCCTGGCGAGGCAGTCCAAACAAACTGGTGAGCAGCGCCTTCAGGGAGAGGCCATACCTGACAAAGTCAGATAGGGAGTGATGGAGGAAGATACCAGACGTAGACCCCTGGTCTGCGCACACGCACGCACGCACGCGCGCGCACACACACACACACACACACACACACACACGCACGCATGCGCGCGCGCGCGCGCGCGCGCGCGCCCGCACACACACCAGGATCTCCTCGCCTGGTGAGCATCTGTTACAGTTGGTTTATACGTGTGATACTGGAGTATAAGATGTCCGGTGTCTCTCCCTGATTCACTACCACCTGACTGTCCTGAGATAGACTCCTACCACTACTGGGACCCTCTGAAACCCCTGTTTGGCACTCAGACCCAGGGACCCCCATGTTTGAATAGTCTCCCCATATAATCCTTGCCCTCCATTATGATCGACGGTGGCAAGAGCCCAGGAGCAGAAATCCAAGTACTTTAAAATTAATTTTCCCAGGCAAACCAACCACAATCGTGAGTACTGACTCATGCTGGCCTATGTGTTAGAAAGTGGATAGTTCAACAGAGCAGGAAGGAGAAAAGGTCTCAAAAGGAAACAATCAGATTTAAGACAATGGGATCCCCTCTGGGTAGAAACAAGTACTGAAGTGCCCAAGGCTGGCTGATTCAGTCTCAGGGTTTTTTGTTTTTTTTTGTTGTTGTTGTTTTTTTTTTTTTTTTGTTTTTTTTTGTTTTGTTTTGTTTTGGGGGGGTGTTGTTTGGCTAGTTGGTTTAGTTTGGTTTTTTAAGACAGGGTTTCCCTGGCTGTCCTGGAACTTGCTCTGTAGACCAAGCTGACCTCGAATTCACAGATTCGCCTGCCTCTGCCTCCCAAGTGCTGGGATTAAGACATGTGCCACTACTGCCTGGCTTCAGACTCAGGTTTTGAGGGCTTTTCACAGAAAGGATCCAGTGATATTCTGGCAGGGCATCTGTTTTCTTCTCTTCCTACACCTGAAAATAAGCTGTGACCAACTTAGATAGCAAATGTGTGTTTTTATGTAAGGAAATCAGAAAAAGGGCAGAGAGACTCAAGCTAGAGCCTTAGGCTTGTGGTTTTGTTGTGTTGCATTGGACTGCATTGTTTTGTTGCAGTTTTCTTTTACTTTGTTGAGGCAGGGTCTGACTATATAGTCCAAGCTAGCCTTGAGTTCACTGCAGTCCAGGCTGTTCTTAAATTCAAGGCAATCCTCCTGCCTCAGCCTTCCACCTGCCAAGATAACAGGTATGTACCACCACATCCTGCTAAACATTTGCATGATTATTTGTGAAAAATAAAATCACATGTATAACTTTGGCACCTGTCTGGGGTGGCTGTGATTTGTGACAGGTTAGCTCATAAAGGTGACTAAATAAAGCCTATATGTCCCAGAGGATGGGAGCAGGCCACCCTACCTAGGGTTGTAGGAGAGGCAGGACCAGAGCAGGGGCTGGGTGAGGCCGGGACTGTGAGGAAGTTGAGGCAAGCTGGGGAGAGGGTTGAGAGATGCTGTCTTGAACGCTGTCATCTGCCACTGGGCTACAAGGACCTTCATGAACTGTATGTCTGGTCCTGGCCCTACCTGCTTCCGAGTGCCTGAGGATAGAGGGATTCTGGCCTGGTGTGAGAATCAGACAGACGAGGTGGTGCAGGGAATCCAAAATTGGCCTGAAGGTTTGGCTCACAAAAAATGAATTTCATGCTGCTGTCCACAAGGTGACAGACCTTTGGTTTGGCTCTGTGGCTAATGGTTGTCAGAAAGATGAATGCGGATTCTAAGACAGTATAGTAATGACAGGTCCTTGAGCTGTCCCCAGTAGACAGCAGAGGGCAGAGACTCAATGTCATCCTCCTTCCTTGCTATGCTCTTTAAGCTGTGCCTATTAGCACTCGGGAGGCAAAAGTAGGCAGATCTCTGTGAGTTTGAGGCCAGTCTGATCTATAGAGTGATGTAACGAGTACGGGTTTTTCCTGCCGGCCGCCGCTGGTCTTGTCCCGCTGCTGCCCCGCCAGCCCCAAATAATGCACAGAGACTCTGTATTTGATACAATGCTATTGGCCAGGTACTAGTTTCTTATTGGCTAGCTCTGCCTTAGTTATTAACCCATTTGTGTTAATCTATGTATGCCCACATGTTCTTCCCGGAGCCGGCTGCCGCATACTGCTCTCTCCAGACTCTCCATTTTGACTCCTCCTTACTACTTCCTATTTCCTCCTTGTCTCTCCTATCTTCCTTTCCTATTGGCCAACGGTGCTTTATTATTAACCAGTATGAGAAACATATGCAGAATGACCTCTCCCATCAGAGTGAGTTCAAGGACAGCCAGTACTACACAGAGGAACCCTGTCTCGAAAAACCAAGGGAGAGAGAGAGGGAGACATGTCTGGCATGATGGCAGATGCCTTTAATACCAGCAGTTGGAGGCAGGCAGATCTCTGAGTTTGAGGCCAGCTTGGTTTACATAGTGAGTTCCAGGAAGCCAGGACAACACAGAGAGTGAACCTTGTCTAAAAAAAGGAAAGTTACTTTTTAAAGTTTCTTTGCTTATTGTTGACCTTATATTGCCTTAGATGTTGGATGTTTTCATAGGAAACTAAAAGTCAGTTTTCTGTTACTCTGTGATGATGGAAGCAGGTGGGGTAACTTGGGGACACTCTTTGGTTCCAGGTGGTCAGAGAGTAACTAGAGGGATGGACTGTGACCTCCCCTTGGCCAACTGTGGCAGGGCATGGGGAAGCCAAGCCGATGGGGAAGACTGGTTTGGCCACTGGTTTGCTCTTCCTCCCGGTAAGAAACCAGCACACTCAGCGAGACTATTGTAAATGTGGCTGCTTTTCTCCCACAGACACGCCAAGTACTATAAGGAAAACAACGTGGAAAAGCGGACACTGATCAAGGCCTTCGGGATCCGCTTTGACATCCTGGTTTTTGGCACTGTAAGTCTCCCAAGACTGTCTAGTGTGGAGTGGGTGATAGCAGTCCTAATCAGTAGTTGGCTCTGTGCAATTCACTTGTGGGACGAGAGAAGGAAGAAATGTGTTTAGGCTTCTGCTGATGAACAGACCATCTGAAAAGCATGGAATATGACTGAGGAAAAACACAAATATCCAAACTTTGCTTTATTTTTGCGGGACAGGCTTTTGCTACATAGCCAGCTGGCCTCGAATCCTCAGTCTTCCTTCCTCATCCTAAGTGCTGGGGTTATAGGCGTGCACCACCACACCTAGCTCTAATATTCGACTTTTCAAATACTTTAATACAGAACTGCAGATGGCTCAGAGGGTGAAGGCCAAGCATGAAGACCTCAGTCTAGACCCTCAGAACCCAGGCAAAAGGCTGGGCATGACAGGGCATGCATGTCTGTGATCCCAATACTGGAGGTAGAGATAGGAGGACTCTGGGAACTCAATGACCAGCCAGGTTCACTGAAAAACTTGTGTGAAAAGCAATCACACAGATTGAGAAAAGATAGTCCAAAATTAACCTCTTCTACATGTTTGCACAGGCAAGCATAGCTGTACATATACATGCACATATCACAGACACCACACACACACACACACACACACACACACACAGAGCATCTGACACTGAGGGTGTAGCTCAGCTGGTAGAATGTGTGCCTACCAAGGGTGAGAAGACTTGGGTTTGATCTCTAGCAGGTGACTGATGCCACACTGTAACAAAGAATCAATGAGATACAAAGCTGGGTGTGGTGGTGCACACTTTTAATCTCTGAAGGCAGAGGCAGGTGACTTCGTGTGTTTGAGGGCAGCCTGATCTACACACCAAATTCCAGGCCAGTAAAGGCTACATAATGTGTCCCATAAAATAAGGCTGAGCAAATGGAAGGGCCACTGAGAGCAGACTTTAAGAGACCAATAAGAAGACAGATGGCTGCAGACATGTCTGCTCCCCAAGTTATCCCACGCTATGGGAGAGCTTGTCTGAAACTCATCTCATACAGATCTCCAGAGGTCTAACCCTCTACCTAACCCTTACTGACCACATCTCTCAAAAGCATTCTAGATGGCAGAAAGGGGAAGCAAGAGTCTGTGGTCCCGGTGACAGTTGAGCACTCAGGTGTGTGCCTGCTAGATGCAGAGACTGCAAGTCAGCAAGAAAAGGTTCCACTCTGAGTTCAGCTGAGTAAAGCTTCCCGCTCTGTTGCAGGGAGGAAAGTTTGACATCATCCAGCTGGTTGTGTACATTGGATCCACACTGTCCTACTTTGGCTTGGTAAGAGATTCTCTTCCCTGTCCTTTAAAAAAATGATTCAGGAGCTGGGTGGTAGTGGGAAGCTTTTAATCCCAGCACTAAAAGGTAGAGGCAGGTAGATCTCTGTGAGCTCCAGGCCAGCCTGGTCTACAGGGAAAGTTCCAGGACAGCCAGGGCTGTTATACAGAGAAACCCTTTCTCGGAAAGCGAAAAGGGAGGGGAGAGGAAGGAAGGGGAGGGGAGGGGAAGGGAGGAGGAAAGGGAAAGGATTCCGGCTGGGCGGTGGTGGCGCACGTGTTTAACCCCTGCACTCAGGAGACAGAGGCAGGCAGGTCTCTTTGAGCTTGAGGCCGGCCTGGTGTACCTGGTGAGATCTAGTCTTGAAAACACAACAGCAACAAAGAAAATGTTGATTTGTCAGAAGTCTCACTGGCATGGTGCTGGCTTTTCCGCAGGCCACTGTATTCATTGACTTGATCATCAATACGTACTCCAGCTCCTTCTGCAGGTCCGGTGTTTACCCGTACTGTAAGTGCTGTGAGGTGTGTGCAGTCAATGAGTATTACTACAGGAAGAAGTGTGAGCTGGTTGTGGAACCGAAGCCGGTAAGGCATCCTGCTCTGTCAGACCCCCCCCCCCCACACACACACCGGTTGGGCCACAATCGCAGTTTCATCTGAAACAGCTATCTCTCTAATGAGCCCTTTAGTTTTAAGAAAGAAGAGAAGCAGAAATGGAGAAGCTAGACATACCGGGAAGACAAATCTTTACGTTCCAGTTTTTGTCATTTATTAAACTGGCATGGCTCCTCCCTGACCCCATATAGTATGATGGCTTCAGAGGACAATCATCTCACATATTTAAATGGTAGTGTTTTCTATCCTGGTTTTTCCATTTCTCTATACTTTTCTAGAGGAACCTTCATACAAGATGCACATGGTATATGTATTTAGGATAGTCATTAAATTTTGTTAATGCTTGTTAAATTACTAATACAAGTAATAGTTTAGTAATAGAACATTTGCTCCGCATGTGTGAGGCCTGGATTCAATACCCAGTATTGCAAAAATGAATGGATAAATAACAGGACGAAACAACAGTTACCTAAATGTCTACTGGGTGAATGGTGAAAGACGCCGTGATAAAGTCATAGTAAAGAATTCTAGTTATCACTCAGGTAACTATTATTAGCAAGAAAGAAAATAAAGCCTTTGGCTACTTCAACACACACACACACACACACACACACACACACATACACACACGTCACTCACTAGAAAGAATGACATAATCCCATTGCATGGGAAGCTAAGGCAAGGAGTTCCAGGTCAACCTGGAGACAACAAACATACCTGGAAAGTTTCATGTGGAGCCTTATGCCTATAAAGCACTGGAGATGCTCAGGCAGGTGGATGGCTTTGACTTCAAGGCTAGTCTAGGCTATAAAGTAAGACCTCATCTCAAAACAAAACAACAACAACAAAACCCCATACTCATATGTCTGGAGTGAGAAACAGAGATGGGTGAGGAGACACTGTGATTAAATACTACTTGTCCAAAGTCAAACAGACAGTAAACGGGAGAGCTGGGGGTCCACCTGAGGATAGCTGGCCTCAGAATCTGCTCTAGACACTTGGATGCAGCTAATAACATGAGCGAATATCCAAGATGTTTTGTTGAGAGAAGTAAAAAGAATAATCGTATGTCACAGTATATAGGTTAAAAAGACAACAGCACACATAATCTACTTCTATATGTTGTCCATATGTACATTTCACATAAATACATGTATACATGCATATGCATGTCCTGGACCCACACAAGTGTGCTGGCAGCAGTGGGTGCTGGTGGCTTCTAGCAGAGCCTAAGGTAGAGAAGTAGGCACACCTATATTGTTTGGATTTTATTAATTTAACTTGGTGATGCAGGTCCATTCCACTCAATTGCATGCCCCCCCCCCCACGAGAAACTGATGGCTCCTTAAAAAGAAAAAGAGAGTTACTTTGTTTTCCCTGGGAATGCTACTGCCCTTTTCCAGCTAAGTACACAGTTCATTGTTTATTGTCTGTTGTCCTTGCGGTAATGATGGAAATAAAAGTTCAGCAAGCTCAGTGTGGTGGCATCGGCCTACAATCCCAGCAGCAGGTTCATTGAGACAGGAGGATGGTGAGTTTGAGGGTTGCCCAGATTGGAGAACAAGACCCTGCCTCAAAACAGAAAATAAGGACAGAAAAAGAAAGGAGAGGGGAGAGATGGGAGAGGAAGGAAGGAAGAAAAGAGAGAGGAAAAGGAGGGAGGAAAGAAGGGAGGAAGAATGGAAGGAAGGGGGGGAGAGGGAGGAAAGAGAAGATTAGTTCACCTTTATAATGAAAACTCAACATGGCCCTTTCCAGATGAGTGAAATTTAACATGTAAACAGTTTAAGGGCGACGCCATAGCCCTACAGAGACTGCACCCTCGGATGGAGACTGAGCTCAGGGTGCTCAGCACAGGTCATCACAGTGTGCCGGGCTCGCTGGACTGTGGCCAGGATGCTCTCCCAGTTAGAGTGTTCGGGGTCTCATGTCTGACTTCCCTTTGGGTCTTGGTTAGTATGCTTTTGTCTCATGGTAAATATGATTAGCAGATGAGCTCACATATGTCTGAGAAGGCGATTCTTGTAACTCCTGTACAGAAGCAGACTTTTCTCCTTCTTTTCCTAGACATTAAAATATGTGTCCTTTGTGGACGAGCCCCACATTCGGATGGTGGACCAGCAGCTGCTTGGGAAGAGTCTGCAAATTGTCAAAGGCCAGGAAGTTCCAGTAAGTGAAAACAATTAGTCTTCTTTTTAGGAGATTTTGCTCTTAAATATAAACATTTGTAGATATTTATATAAATCACAGTTGATGAATTTTAGCAAAGTAAACATATTTGTGGAACCAACTCCCAGACTGAAAACTTAGTTGTTTGAGGCCTGGTGGATGGCTCAGAGGGTAAAGGCCCTGCTGCTGGGGCCGGCAGCCTGAGCTGGATCCCTGGGACCCACATGGGGAAGGAAAGGACCAATCCCAGCAAGTTAGCCTCTGGTACATGTGCATACACAGACATACAGACACACAGGCACACAGACATGCACACACAGACATATGCACACACACACACACACACACACACACACAGGCACACAGACATGCACACAAATGCACCTACACAGACATATGCACACACACACACACACACACAGGCACACAGACATGCACACAAATGCACATACACAGACATATGCACACACACACAGACACACACAGGCACACAGACATGCACACAAATGCACATACACAGACATATGCACACACACACACACACACACACACACACACACACACACACACACAAATAAACCTAACAAAACGATTTAAAATTAGATGTTTTGGGCTAGGGATATGGCTCATAGTAGAGTTTTGGGTTTTGTTCTTTGTTTTGGTTTTTTGAGAGTTTCTCCATGTAGTCCTAGCTGTCCTAGAACTCACAGAGATCCTCTGCCTCTGCCTCCTGGGTGCTGGGATTTAATAGTAGAGTATTTATCCAGAGGAAAGACAGAGAGACTGAATATCCCAGAAATCCCTTTTATGCCTCTCCTGAATTGCCACCTTCCCTTAAAAACAGTCCTCACCCTTCATCTAAGGATTAGGTTTTAGGTTTTTGTTGTTGCTGTTTTGAGACAAGGTCTCACTCTGCAGTCTTGGATGGACTGGAACCCCAGTGTAGACCACGTTGGCCTAGAACTCACAGAGAGATGAGTTCTGCCTCTGAATCCCAAGGGCTGAGATTAAAGGCGTGTACCACCACACTCAGTCGAAGGGTTAGTTTTATTGATTCTAGAATTTTGTAGAAGTTGAACTGTACAAGCTGGGTACAGCTGTCTATACCTATAGCTCCAACACTTGAGAGGTTGAGGCAGGGAGATCACTTGGACTCAGGAGTTCAGACCAGGCTGGGAAACCCAATGAGACCCTATTGCAAAAAAGAAATGAGTTGTATAGTAAAGACTCCTGACACACTCTGCTGAAAGTCTGACTGATGTCACTCACTGTTTTGGTGAGTTATCTGACATGGCATATGGTGACAATTCATTCTTATTTTTGTATAATCTCTGCCTTGTAAAATTCAGTTTATTTACCCATTTCAGCATGAAGCTCATTTGGGAAGTTTCTAGTATGGGGGCAAATGTCAATCATGCCATGATGGCAAACATGCGGGTGAGCTCCTGAGTCACAGACAGTGCATGACTCGGTGTTAGAAGATACCAACAAAGGGCTGCAAAGTGGCTGTGGTCATTTTGTTCCCCCACAGTTCCGGTCGTTGGGCACCTTTGCCAGCTCTATTGATTTCCTGTGGCCACACCAGTGACCACAAACTAGGTGGCTTAAAAAGCTGGTTTATGCTCCTGTCTGGAGGCAAAATGGCTGAGGTTAAGGTCTTAGCAGGACTCTGGTTCCCTGGAGGCTTCAGGGAAGAGCGCCCCCAGCAGCCCCAATGGGCTTCTGCACCAGTGTGGGAAGCACAGGCCTCCACCTCGTTTCCCATCTCAGCAGACAGTTTGTCTAGTTCATTCTCTACCAGAAGTTTTCGGTTAGCTTTTTAAAATGTGGTATCAGATTCAAGAAAATTCCCTTTTGTGTTTAATTTATGAGAATTTTTTCTTTTATCACAAATGGGGATGAGCCTCAGCTTTCCAAGCTGCTGGAAGTTACTGATTTACAAAGGCTAGGTGTTGTTGTTTTTTCTTTTTTGGGAACCAGACACCCAGCTCCCAAATATGCACACACAGAGAGAAGCTTATTCTTTCTTATGAATGCTCAGACTTAGCTTGGCTTGTTTCTAGCTAACTTTTCTTAACTTAAATTATCCCATCTAACTTTTGTGGCTGGGCTTTCATCTTTCTCTAGTCTGTACTCCTTTCTTTACGTCTTACTCTGGCTGGCTGTGTAGCTGGGTGGCTGTTGCTTAGAGTCCTCCTCTACTCTTTCTCTTGCTCCTAGATCCCCTTTCCCAGATTTCTCCTATTTATTTTCTCTTCCAGCCCCACCTACCCACCTCCTGCCTCAATACTGGCCGGTCAGCTCTTTATTAGACCAATCAGGCAGCAAAGCAACACAGCTTCACAGAGTTAAACAAATGCAACATATCTTGGCATCATTAAAACAAATATTCCATAGCATAAACAAATACAGCACATCTTAAAGTAATTTTCCACAATAGCTAGGTGTGTGTAGGCATGTGTGCATGTTTGTCCATGTTAATGCACGTGTGTGCAATGTCTACGGACACCAGAAGTTGATACTTGTCTTCCCCAATCACTCCCCACCATTATTGTTTCAAGACAGAGCCTCCTAATGAACCTGAGGCTCCCTAATTCTGCTGGACTGGCTGGCCGGTGAGCTCTGTCTCTGTGCCCTTGACACTAGGACTTGAGGTGCACCAAGCTCAGCCTCTTACATGAGTGCTAGGGACCTAACACAGCTCCTTACATTTGCAAACTGAGCCATCTCCTTAACTCACAACTTTCCATTTTAATATGATATACTATTTTTTTGTATTTGTTCATGGGTTTGGTTAATATTTAGGATTTTTATATCTCATCTTGGGAGGCGCTGATCAAAATTTTCCTTTCTTAGAATTTCCTTGCAGAATTTGGGTAGATAGTGAACTATTTAGCTGCGTGTGGTGGTACATCCCTATAATCCTGGCATTTTCAAGGTACAGGCAGGATTTTCAGGAGTTCAAGGCCAGCCTTGTATAGTGTGTTTGGGGTCAACCTGGGCTACACAAAACTCTGTCTCAAAAAAGAAGGTAGTTAGTATTTAAGACTGTATCTATGTATGTTACAATGCTAATACAATGCTATTCTGCCAACGCCACCAACTCCAGAACTCTTGTAATTTTTCAGAAAGAAACCCTATCAAGTAGCCACTTCCCATTTCCAGTTGCCCCTGGTAACTACTCACCTACTTTCTATTGGTCTGTCTATCCAGAACTTTGCATAAGGCCGATCATATACTGTGTGGTCCTTTGTCTCACTTCTTTCTCTTAGCGCAGTGTTTTCAAAGCTCATCTAGGTTGCAGTCGGTTTTCTGGCTCAACAGTATTCCTGGGTAGACATACTGCCTGAGTAGGCCGGCTTTTGTTTTTCCACCCATTAGTTAGTGGTCCTGGGGATGCTTTTGTCTTCCATAAACAGTGCTGCTGTGACCATTCACATACTCAAACTACTTAGTTTGAACGCACCTGACTCAGGTCTTCATATGTCACACAGACTGAGCATGGCAATTCTGGCAACTTTGGAAGATAATAAATGGATACGCCAGTAGAAAGAGTCTGACGGGCATGGCAATAGTAGGAATGAATCAACAAGTAGTGTCTACTGGGCACTGCCCCAGGTAATAAACAGAGTTCCTGCTTTCCCTTGGAAGACAACAGTCATCAAAGAAATATATTAACTAGAGATCCTTTCAGAAGGGGTCAGTCCCATGAGGAAGGCAGTCCATTGTCTTGATGTGATGGGACAATCACCCAGGCAGCCAGGGCCAAGAGGCTTTTCTGATTTCATTTTCCAAATATGTAAAGTAAAAACACAAATGTGTATTACAGGAGGTTCTTCACAGATTCAACAGCAGAAACAGCTGCCCAGCCTGATGCAGATAGATAAGTGATAGGTGCTCCAGTTGCTGTAACATTAAATGTTATTCTATAGGTTGATACAGCTAGCAAACCTAAAACCAGAGGGGTTGGTGTTACTGAAGGGTCTGGAAACTTGACTTTTTCAGAGGCCTCAAATGGATATCATGGACCTGCCTAGGCTGTCGCTGTCTCTCCATGACTCACCTCCCGTTCCGGGACAACCTGAGGAAGTGCAGCTGCTGTGTAAAGAGGCTGTCCCCAAGTCCGGGGACAGCCCAGGCTGGTGCCAATGTGGAAAATGCCTCCCATCCCGGCTACCAGAGAATCGCAGGGCCCTGGAGGAGCTGTGCTGCCGGAGGAAGCCGGGACCCTGCATCTCCACCTCGGAGCTCTTCTGGAAGCTTGTGCTGTCCAGACAAGCCCTGCAGCTCCTCCTGCTCTACCAGGAGCCCTTGCTGGTGCTGGAGGAAGAGGCCACCAACCGCAGGCTGCGACACTGTGCGTACAGGTGCTATACCATCTGGCGCTTTGGCTCCCAGGACATGGCTGACTTTGCCATCCTGCCCAGCTGCTGCCGCTGGAGGATCCGGAAGGAGTTCCCCAAGACAGAGGGGCAGTATAGTGGCTTCAAGTGTCCCTACTGACAGCATGGCTGCCACAGTATAGTGGCTCATAGTACAGCTTGTCTTCTAGCCTAGAGCCACACTCTCAGACAAAGGGAACTTAGTTTTCTTCCCCCTGTAAGCTCCTTGTGTGTTGAAGACATAGTTAGCCCAACCCCCAGGCACATGAGCCCGCTCCACATGGATGAGAACCAGATGCAGACCTAAGCCTGCAGTCTGGCCCTGGCTTTAATGTGTACATGGGCTCCTCTTTCCCCGGCCTGCTTTCTCTGAATGAATGTGAGACCAGATTGAGACAGTGTAGGGGATCTCTTGTAAATGTTTACATAGCTCCATGGATGCAAAGGTCCAAACATAAAAACAAACCCTTTGGGATTTGAGAATGCCCTGAGAGATTAAAGATGGTCACAAATCCTTTAATTACCCCAACTCTCAAGAACCAACGCCGCTGTTTCCCCTCCCGTTATGGCAGCTCTGGTGGCTTCATCCAGCATCACCAGGCTAACAGTTTCTACTTCCTGTCCCTGGAACTCTGGCTGAGGGGAAGCCAGCCCAGGTCGAGAGTCTTACTGTAGGGAGGAAGCCCCACAGAGAAGGACCCAGTCCTCTGCCAGCTCAGATCCTCTATGCCCAGTCACCACACGGGGAGAGAAGCTACCTTCAGGTGATTCCAGACCCTACTAACAAGTGACGGAAACTGCAGGAGACGTGAACTGCTCTGTCACCCTAGAGGACCATCCTCCTGTCTTAGGTCATTACATTTGGGGGATGGGAGTTTGGTACACAGCAATAGGTAACTGAGGCCTGGAGTTGCTGCAAAATGAAAAGTCTACTGGACAGTTGCAAGAGAACCCATTAACCCGGCCAAGAAGCCATTAAATCTAACTTACACAGGGTATAAACCTGAGCCCCACTGCTACCCTATGGCTCCAAGTGACTACTGTCACAGACAGTAAGAGCCACCTCTGTGCCTTTGACATCCTGGACTTTACAGCCACTGAATGTGGAGGCAACCTGCATGTTCCTTTAAAAGGGAGCCCAGACTGCCAGTGCTCAGGAAGGTTGGGAGTTCAAGGCCAGCCTAGGCTCCACGGCAAGATCACATCTTTCTTTTTTTTAAGACTTATTTTTATGTTTGAGTCTTTTGTGTGCATGTATATCTGCCCACAGTGTATGTGCCTGGTGCCTGTGGGGGTCAGAAGAGGGTGTCAGACCCCCGGGAACTGGAATTGCAGGTGGTTGTGAGCCACCATCTGGGAACTGAACTTGAGTCCTCTGCGATAGTAACACAAATTCTTAATTAGTGAGCTAACTCTCCAGCTTCAAAACCACCTCTTAAAAAAAATAAAATCAAAATAACTAAAAAGAGGGGGAAGAGGGGCTAGACAGATGGCTCAGAGGGTAAGAGAATGTTTTCTGCACAAGCATGGAGACCTAAGTTTGGATCACAGCACCCACACCAAGAGCTGGCGCAGAGGTGAAAGAACTTTTGTCACGTGATCTGATGACCTGGGTTCAACCCCTGAAACCTGTGGGGGAAGTGGAGGACCAACTCCTACAAGTTGTCATCTCACCTCCACACGGGCCACACGCGCGCGCACACACACGCGCACACACACACACACGTGTGTGTGCACACATATACACACTCATACACACACTAACACATACACATATACGCACACTCACATACACGTGCACACATATACACACTCATACACACGTATATACACTCATACACATACACACACTCACACACATATATGCATGTACACATGCACATATACACACTCATACACACACACACATACATACACACACACACACACACACACACACACGCACGCACACTAACAATAAATAAATTTAATTTTGAAGGAAAGCCAGTACCCTTCACTGTCTTCTACAAGTGCTAAGCATGTAGGAGTGGACAGTCACAGGTTTGGGGTCTGGCCTCACGATCTTTTTTACAGTTTTTCAGTAGACATGGCTACTGGTTTCTAAAAGACTTCTGCAGAATACTGTGAGTATTAGGAGATACTGTGACTGATGATCTGAGACCTTTAGAGCTACTCTGAGACTTTCCATTTTGAGACTTCTAAGAGCTAGAAGCAATAAATATAGCCTTAAAGGGTGGGGCTGAGGCAGCTTAATAAATGAAGGTGCTTGAACAAAGGTGAATGAATGAATGAATGAATGAATGAATGTGAATGAATGAAGGTGCTTGCTGACAAGCCCAATGGTCTGCCTGACCCACACGATGGAAAGAGAGAACCAACTGCCACAAGCTGTCCTCTGACTTCCACATGCAAGCACTGGCATGTGACCACAGATACATGATGTAAGCTTAAAAAAGAGACTTCTACTCTGGTGATATAGGACAGCATGGATTAAAAACCCATTTTTCTTTAAAGTCCAGAGTTTTATCTAGCTTTAAACTCAGGAACCACACTATATTGCACCAGCTTTGGTTTTCATTATTCTATCTTCTGGAGATGTCCTCTAAAAGTGGACTGTATTTGACTTCAGAGTTGAACCTCTTGGTCTAAGGATGCTATGTAAGAGCCACAGGCATCCCATCTGTGGCCTCAGCATCCTCAGACCTTCGTCTCGATGCCTCCTTCCTAGTGACTTCCTAGTGACTCCTTGTTGAGGCCTCAGATAGTGTAGTCCCTGAACACCTCTAGTGTCTTCTGCCTTGGTGACTGATGCTCTGGCGAGGGTGACACTACTTTGTGTATAGAGTGGCCCTTTCTGCAGCTGCGGTGACATGTGCATCCTTATTGTGTAGGTAATGCCTTGAGCTTTAAGTGCCCTTGCTGTTAGATGCATTCTGTCCTGTCAACTGCCAGGTATTCATGCCTTCCTTGGTCAGGAGGGAGACACGATTCTTGATGCAGATGCCTGACTATACAGAACTCAGGGTGGATTCATCCCTCTCTCTAAAGGGAACCATTTTCTGAACCTTTCCTAATTTCAGATTGCCAATGTAAATTTTCTTAACTGTTTTAATAATAAAAATTGATTTTAATTCATTGAAGTCTTCTCTGATTCCTTTTTTTTTTTTTTTCAGATGAGTCCCGAGGCTTAGTGAATTCATTCATTTTTCCCAGTAGATGGACGAGTTTACTCCTCCCAAGAAGATACACAAACATAGATAGTAATCAGATGATTTGAGCAATGAAAACCTGCAACCTGGGGTGCATATTATGTGGAAGAAGGCAGGTGATGTTCTGAGGTCCTTTAATGGAAGAATTTGACCTATGTGGGGGCATCAGGAGTTCTACCTGAGGAAGACAATTTAGCTAACCTATGCAGAGAAATTCCCAGTTGACTAGAATTCTAAAAGGGGCAGGGTAGAGCATTCTAGGCAATAATTAACAGTGTTGGTCCTGCATGGGTGGGGCGGGGGTGGGTGGGAAAGACAGGCACATGCACACAACCTGTCACAGATAAGATGTCCTTATGTTAAAATCAGTACACAGGTGGCCATGAGGGTTTTAGTCAAGAGCATGATAAGATCACATTTAATATTTAAAAGCTTACTCTGAGCCAGGCATGGTAGCATATACTTTCCATCACTTAGAGACAGAGGCAGGCAGATCTCTGAGTTTGAGGCCAGCCTGGTCTACATAGAAAATTCTAGAGCAGCTAGGGGGACATAGTGAGACCCTATTTCAACACACACACACACACACACACACACACACACACACACACACACACACACACGAGAGAGAGAGAGAGAGAGAGACACACACACACTCACAGAGAGAGAGAGAGAGAGAGAACCATTCTATAAGTTCTGTTATTGTAGAGAACCCTAATTGATACAACACTGAATACACATTTAGGTAGAGAAAGAAGAGCCTAGATCTTCACTGGACTATGGATGTGTCATGGATAAGGCCAAATTCAATCATTGAGAGAGTTCAGAAAAGGTTAGTGAATTCCTGTATCCAGAAATCAAACAAAGGCTCTCTTTAAATTTTCCTATATGAATTTGTTTTGGGGAGGTCAACAAAATTGTGCCGAGCAAGCATTCTATGTGCCTGAGCTACATTGTGTATGCACGTTTCTGTGTGTGGTGTACACGTATGTGACATATATACACACTCAGGTGCCCATGAAGCCCAGAGGACTGATGCTGGATGCCCTGCTTTATCACCCACTACCACATTCCCTTCAGACAGGCTATCTCAGGAAGCCTAGACTAAAGCCGACTACCAGCAAGCCCCGAGAGCCTCCTCTCCACACCCACAATACTCTGTTTATAGACACATGCCTGGTTTTTTGTTTGTTTTGTTTTGTTTTTTTCAAGACAGGGGTTCTCTGTGTATAGCTCTGGCTATCCTGGGATTCACTCTTTAGACAGACTGGCCTCAAACTCACAGAGATGCACCTGCCTCTGCCTCCCGAGTGCTGGGATTAAGGGGATGTCTACCCAGTCATGCCTGGCCCTTTACACAGGTTTGGGGATTTGAGATCCCACTTGCTCAGAAAGAGCCCAAAGCTGCTGAGCTGTCTCCCCAGCCCCCAGTCCTTAGTTTTTTAAGACAAGGTTTTGCTATGTGTAGCATAAGCTAGCCTGGAACTCAGGCTCCTTGTGACTCAGCCTCCTGAACGTTGGGACTATAAACATGTGCCATCATGGCACATGTGACAAATAATTCTGAATAAAAAAAAAAAATCTAAAACTTGGATTTAATAGTTTTTCAAAGATATGAAAATAGAATTGTCTTGAGTTATCAGTTCTACTGGGCACACACCTTTCGGGTTGGAGGCTGGCACTCATGACCATCTGAAGGAACAATGCCATGTAAAAACAAACAGGATCTGGGAGGAGTTGAGGGAAGGGACAAAATGTGATGATCAAATACACTGCATAAAGTTTTCAAAGAACAAATAAAAATTAAAGTAAAATCAACCAGGCAGTGCAGTGGTGACACATGCCTTTAGTCCCAGCACTGGGACAAAAACAAAACAAAAACCAGGGAGAAATGAGGGGGTTCTTCTCATTGTGAAATGGGGTGTCACTGTGTAGACCAGGCTAGCCTCTGGCTCACAGGGCACTACCTTCCCCTCCTCTTCTTACCCCTCTGGCTCACAGGGCACTACCTTCCCCTCCTCTTCCTACCCCTCTGGCTCACAGGGCACTTTCTCCTCCTCCTCTTCCTACCTCTCTCCCCACCCCTCACCCCCGTCTTTTCCTTTTCTTTTCTCTTTAGGGTCTTGTTTTCTTTCATTCTGAGCCTCAATCCTGGGTTTGGCTCAGCTTGTATACTATGCATATTGCATATTAACATATTTCATTTGCAAAATATTCTACTGGAAACTACACCTGGGTCAGGAAGCCAGGAAAAGAGAATGAGGCATCTTAGGAAAGAGCAAACAGGGTTTAAAAGAGATGGGATAGACCCGTGGCCAGGGAATATATCAACCTTACTTTGGCTTTGTTGGAGTGGAATTGCAGGCTGGACCTTGCCTTAAGGAAGAAAAGAGAGAAGGATTTTTGAGTGTGCTTACTTCAATGCTACGGAGAACCCATGTAAACGATCAAAGCGATGGAAGGAAATGCCTCTGGCCATGCTCACTTCGTAGCACAACGGAGTTTGATTAATTTTATATGTATGAGTTTTTTTCGTGTGTGTGTGTGTGTGTGTGTGTGTGTGTGTGTGTGTGTGTGTGTGTGTGCCATCAGATGTCAGAAGAAGGGATCAGATGCCCTGGAACTGGAGTTATAGATGATTCTAAACTGCCATCTGGGTGCTAGGAACCAAACCCAGGTCCTCTGCAAAAACAGCAAGTGTTCTTAACCAGTTAGCCATCTCTCCAGGCTTACTTTGTCTTTTCTATTTTCACTTTATAAATTTATTCAGGTATTTCCCTTGCTTGTGTATCTGTGCACCACGGGCAGGCCTACTGGGTGTGGAAGCAAGACGGGCATGCAGAAGTAAGCATGGCTGGATGCCCTCTAACTGGAGTTCCAGTCCCTTGGTAGCGTTCATGTGGGTGCTGGGAACCAAACCTGGGTTCTCCAAAGAGTAGCCTGATGGGAGATATCATTCTATATATGTTTCTCATACTGGTTTAATGAATAAAGCACTGTTGGCCAATAGGAAAGCAAGATAGGTGGGACTAGGCGACAAGGAGGATTGGAGGAAGTAGTAAGGAGGAGTCAAGATGGAGAGTCGGGAGAAAGCAGAATGCCGGCCGGCTCCCTGGTAAGAGAAATACATAGATCAGCAGAAATGGGTTAATACTTAAGACAGAGCAAGCCGATAAAAAACTAGTACCAGGCCAACAGCATAATATCAAATACAGAGTCTCTGTGTATTATTTGGGGCTGGCTTGGTGGCGGGACAAGACTAGGCGGCGGGAGGAAAAAACCGTACTCCTTACAGTAGCCAGCTTTTTTTGTTGGTTTGTTTATTGTTTTTTGTTTTGTTTTGTTGGTTTTTTGAGACAAGGTTTCTCTGTTAGCTTTGTAGATCAGGCTGGACGAGAACTTAGAGAGATTCACCTGCCTCTGCCTCCCAAGTGCTGGGATTAAAGGTGTGCGCCACCACCACCTGGCTAGAAACAAGTGCTTTTAACTACTGAGCCATCTCTTCAGCCCTTTGGTGATTTGCATTTTTTTTTTTTTTCAAATAGTTTCTCTGTGTAACAGCCCTGGCTGTCCTGGAACTCACTTTGTAGGTGAGGGGGGTCTGAACTACAGAAACCTGTCTAGAATTCATCTTAGTTTTCTTATTTGCGAAAGGAGAGGACTGGACTGAACAGGACCTTTTGGGTACTCAATCTCAAAATGTTCTCTGCCTTGTATAAAATGAACTCAATTTACACTTGACATTAAGCTTATGCAAAGTGCTTAGCAGGCCACCTGGTAAATGGTCAGGGATCTGCTGTGCAGGCCAAAGTCCACACCATGGCTTCAAAGGCCTCACTAGCTCTGGCCACCGCTCAGAGCCTAAGCTCTACCACCTCCTTCCCAGCCCATTCTGCTAAATTCATTCTCTCTCTGTTACTGGAACAAAGCTCATCCCTACTCATGGCTTTCATTCTTGATGTTCTCTTTGGCTAGAATATCACCCTGTAACACACACACACACACACACACACACACACACACACGCAGTTATCAGAATAAATGACTCAGACATGCTTCTTCCAAGATAACAGATACATAGAGAATCTAATACTCTGCCAAGATTGTACTTTCTCTTCTAGGATATACATAGAACATTTATAAAAACACCAACACGCATCAGGCCATGTACATCCTAGTGTTCAATATAGCACAGAACATGTTCTTCAGACACATTTCAATGAAACTAAAAATGAATTTTCAAAAGACACATTTCAAAAAAAAATGGAACCTCTATTGATTATTGCTAAATGATTCCTGGAAATATATAAAATCAAAGATAGTGAAAACACTACAAGTCAAAACAGGCAGACACAGCTAAAGAGGTATTTCATACAGAAAGAAATCCACAGCTCTAAATAATTATCAGAAACTAGGAAGATGAAAAGAAAAAATACAAGCTAAACACTCAACACACTGAAGAATAATAGAAACAACTATGAGAAATAAAAGGGAAATAGTAGGGTAGAAATCAGTGAAATAAAAATTTAAGAAAACAAAACTAAAACTAGTCTTATAAAAAGATTATTAAGATGGATATGTCTAGGGGGAAAAAAAAACCAGACAGTCACACAAGAGATTTTTAAAGTACCAAGATTATTCCAAACACTCCTGGTAATGAACTGGAGTGGATTCCCCTGGCTACTCTGGCTTTCCTGTGTTGTCCACTGTGTACCTCTTGGCACTGGAGTAAAACCTCCCTAAGACAAGGACTTTGGTTTCCTTGGCCTGAGGGATACCTAGCACAGGCTGCAACTGCGTATCTGATGGATACACGTGCATATCTCTACTGGCTGATATAGTAAAGCTGGGTAGGCTCTTCCTAAAGGAGATTTTTCTCTTTGTTTCTGGCAGCTCTGCCCAGCTGGAAGAGAAAGAGGATCCAAG